TTCTCCCAATATAAAACTTTAGAGTGCCATCTGGCCGGTGTTTTTGGATTTTACAATTTTCTATTTTTAAGTTTTTGTAATCTTCGGTATTTTGGTAAAATTAAGGTTGTAGTCAAGCTGAATACGTAAACAACACATATGGAGTAATGTGGAGCATGTATAATAATTTCACACATTAACGAATCTAATATTATAAGGATTCGAAGTTAAGGTGAGTGGCCAACTCCTTAGAGTATCTCCAATGAATTAACCAGTGGGGATCCAAGATTTAACATTGGGTGGTCATAGACTCATAATCAAGGTACACTAGGGCGCTAGTTAGGCAACATGCTAGACCTTGCGCGTGAGTTTAAATAAATTTATTATATATCATATAAATAAGTGTTATTTATACTTAAAAAAATTATATTTGTATTGCGAATTTCAGTTTATTATTTTAATTAGGTTTATTATTAACATGTAACATAGAAAAATGTCATAATTTGTGCCTTAGTATTTTAGTGAATTTGATGGTATGAGATAGAAGTTCATATGATCTCCGAAAAATATTTTGTAAAGTGCTATGAACTCGTAGTTACTTGAACTTATATATCATGATTTTATAAGAAATAACAGTTTCAAACATATGGTATAAATGGTTGAGTAATACACCATCTCAAATAAATGCTAGGTGGCACAACCTGATTGGAAAACATTTTTTTTTTTTAAAGAAAAATGGGGAGTTGATCACGTGGGAATTTGAGAGAGAATGTCTTTCTTCTTCGTTGAAACCAAGGTCCAAGAACAGCAGAACCATGGTGATATTTCTTCTTGGTTGAGAGCTAATGTTGCACAACATCTGCATAACCATCATGGTCTTCTCTCTTTCACCACCTGCCCAGACCATTGGGTGGTTCTCGAATGTCTTCACAGGCTCTTCTTTGGACTTTTGAGTACTCTTAGGATCACCTGGTCCATACATGCATTCACTTTTGCTCCTAAGTAAAAATTAAAGATTATCTAGAAATTATCATTTTCTATTGCACTATTTAACATGCTCATATGATAACAAAATTGCTAAGAGCATCACCAGTAGAGTCCTTAAATACGGACAACCACCGCATAACATGGGTATAAAACAAATATAGGGACAAAATGGATCTCTAATGGGTCGGAAAGTGAGTTCCTAAAGTATAAAGACTCACTGAATACATAGCGTATGTTCTCACATATAGAGACTGTATAGGAAAAATCTTGAGTGGAAAACGGGGCCCACAATCTTAATTGAAGCTCTTAATATTTTTTATACTTTTAATTTTAATGTTTTTATTTAGTTAAAAAAAATGGTTAACATAAACAAAAAAAAAAATGTACACCTTGAGTGAAAAACGAAATCCACAATTTTGATTGAAGATTTTAATGGTTTTACTTTTAATGATTTTAACTAATTAAAAAATGTTAACATAAAAAAAAAATGTGCACGTAATCAAATTATCACATAAATCATAAAAACTTCAAATTTAGGAATTCTACTGTAAGGACTACCTTTATTCACTATTGAAGGTAATATTCTTTTAAGTATACAAAGATTCCCTTTAAGCTCCAAAATGAATACTTAAAAGTGGTGGTGGGAGTCCCTATATAGGGACTTCTATTAGAGATGCTCTAAGTACTCTAAATTTGAGTGAGAAAGGAGCTCCTAACATTATATACAATTTTTTTTATAATTTTATACATAAAGTACTCTATTCCTCTTAATTGGCTGGAGTATAATTTTTTTAGAGAGCTCCTAAAATAGCTTTCTAGCATTTTTAGCTAAAATTCAACTAAAAAATAAAGAGCATAATTGGAAATGCTCTTATTAGTTGTTACGAGGTTTATTAATTTTCTGATGGTAGACATTTTTTCCAATCCTCACATATTACCCCTCCTACTGATATTCACCACACTAATCATCTACTTGGTACCCCCAAACTATCGAATTGATCGAGAGGTATTGCGTCATTGACACGGTGCTAGTAACTTCATCAATCAAATTTACCTCACTAGATTGGATGGGTGTTGCCACCAGACCAATGCCCAAAACTATACGTCGAAGGATCATTTGTACATTCAGCGCCTTTTTGATAGGAGACTCTTGTGACACTTTTGCCTCTAGGATGAGTGATTTGATTATCACTATCATAATTCATTGTCATGATACCATGTTAGAATTACGTATATTATCTTTACTGATCGATGAATGAATGACTTTATGATGAAATACAAGGCTATATAATTTACTCGTGCAAGACAAGTAACCTCCACAGTAAGAGGAAAATATTATTGATTAGGAAAAAAATAAAAAATAAAAGGGCGGGACAAAAATTGAACTCCATTAAAAAAAAAACTAAAAAGGATTAAAAACATGAGTTGTTAGGAGGAAAAAATCATTCATCACAAAGGGGAGACAAACTTATAGCTCGAGACCAATAAACCTGACTGAATAAACAGAAGAATCTCTAAGAGACGAGTATCATGCCAAACAACTGAAGACGAAAGCAATTCTAGCCTAGATCGACATTGGGTCGGCAGAAGTTGTCACGTTATGATCCCGAGATACACCAGGATTGACATGTGATAGCTGGAAGTAGAGATATAATAAAACATAGAGTCAGCTGAGACTCATACATAATAATCAAAGAATCAACGGAAACGAAATTACAATATAAGTAACCAACTCTACTCTGTACTGCAGTGCAGACACTAGCTACACCTCTTGAAATCCTCTTTCTTTGACCGCTACTTGTACTCTGCAAGAAACAGTCCTACACTCTGGAAATCATGCACTGAACAAAGTAAAAATCCAGGATAAGCTGCGAAGCTCGTGTGATGCGTTAGGTTCTGGTAGGCTATAGCAATACGCATTACGATCAGCTAACATTCCTAACACTATTAAGCAAGTTCTAGTATCTGAACCGGTTATAGAAGAGAAGCCATGAATTATGACTGAAACCCGATAAAATTCAGTTCAGATAAACAGAAACTTGTAAGCCAATTGACTTGCATGCTATTATCTTGCAACCATTTTTCTATCCTGATTGAGTCAGTAATATTGTTCCACGGAAACATAACAACTCATGCAAATTTAACTTTACCGAAATGGTTGCCTAAAGTTCAAGATTAATCGTGGAATCAATGAAGCAGACAGGTAAGCAAGAGGGTTTTCCACTACTGCATATATATTTACAATGAGCAAACAAAAAGAGAACAGATATGTAGCTCAACAACCTTTATACAATTGCAGTATCTATACTTTCGTAAAATTGCCTTTCTTTTTGAAGTCCGAACTCAAAACTCCAGAAATAATCAACGGTTCAGTTTGAAGTGCAAAATGTACCGACCCAAGTGAGAAACCGATCACCACATCTGACCAGGAAGCAAGACCAGCAATACGCGCCCAAGACAATCGAGCAAAAACACAGTGAAGGTTTACGTACTTTTTTAGGAATGACGAGAATGAGGGTTTCCACACTATCCTGTCTACTAGCATTGCATGCTTGCAGTTCTTACAATTTCCTCCCTATATATACCAGAGGCTGGGAAATTAGTGATAAACATGGATGAATTCAAGATATGGCTCTTGCCTTTTGTTTTAGATTCTAAAGTTCTGATAAACATTACATTTTTGAGGTGGATTCCATCTGGTTAGGCTTAATGCCTAAAGCGGTCCATATATATAGGATTCTTTGAAGCCTCATCCGGGTCATCAACTCTAAATGTTTTCGGAACAAAACACAGTTCTGATTTCTCCACATCCATAATATTTTGAACCCTTGAGTGCTTTCCTAGGGTTGGCCAGCCATTACCTGAGCAGCGACTATTACCAGTAGAGCTAGGAAGACGGAGATAAACAACCATTAGATCCTCACAACAATACATTTCCCAGTCCAGCAGGAAGCCATAGAGGTATACAACCCCAATGTGGTGTTTGAACACTTAGTAAGGAAACTAAAGACATGATGATAAAGTATAAGGTAAATCACTTCAACAAAACCATTTTCCAGTAAATGATCAGTATGTTAACTGATATTAAAAACCAAATTCATATTTTGGAAGTAACTACTACAAGTTAAGAAACATTTATATATAAAAACTTAATATGCTTTAACAATGTCAATTATTCTCAGTCCTGGGCTCTCTATCGGTAACACTGTTCTGAAAAACGTTGGTAACCAAATCAGTATAAGATTGATTGGGCAGAGGTGTTTGAAAGTTATCTTGGATGTGATAGTGAACTTGCTTCGGTTTGAAGGTTATCTTGGATGTGATAGTGAACTTGCTTCGGTTTGAAGGTTATCTAGGGTGTGATAGTGACCCTTACTAAGTACCACCTACCAAGGTTGGAACTTCGTAAGGACTGGGGCACTAACCGACTAATCAATAAACTTTGGCAAAACCACGTCCATTTTAGCTGAGGTGCACCCGTTCAAGTGCAACACTACGGCTCCTGCGCTGTCAATTTTGTTGAAGGTCTCACCAGGTGCCAATTACAACTTCATCAATTTTGTCGACCTTGTCGATTACATTGGTTAGCAAAAGGTTTGTAAAGCCACAGAAGGGCAGATACTTGAAAAACACTTGGAGCATGAGATCCTCTGCTAGTTGTACTGAGTTCTCTGTTTATAGTATTCGCAGACATGGGTGTCAAGTAATCAAAGCTGGACTTCCATCCTCGTAACATTCTATCTTGGCATTTGACTCAGAAGAGGACTTCACCAGTTCTAAAATGAAGATTTGAAGTCTACGGGCTAGTTTAGAAGTGCTTTTAAAATGGTTGAAAGCGCTTTTGGTGAAATCATCGGCAGGATAATCACCCCTACCGATCTCATACTTATCCACATCCAACTTTAAATAAAACAAGGATCAAATTCCCACCTGCTATTACAAGATTCCGTTGTTGATAAAAATTAGGTGTTGTAAACTCACTTGTAGAATTGGAAGAGCATATCGGAAGGGCAATTTCTCTTTCAAACTGAAAATGTCTCAAGTTCGAATTTCCCATGCCATTTAATAAGATAAAAAAGTTTAATACATCTAAAGTTCCATCCACTTTCATACGAATGTTTGACAAAAACACAAATAAAAGTTCGTCCAGAATCTAGATGGATCGTACTGTAAAGTTTACACACACATATGTAAAACATACTAAAACTAAAGCTTGAGAGGGAACAGGATCTTTAAGCTTTTCCAGGGGTTCTTGGGTCATGATGGTTGTTTGCTCCTGTTCCTGGATAGTCTTCACTTTCTATAGCCATCCTTCCTTCAATAAAACTCTCTCCCTCGCCCGCATCAAACACCTCGTCTCCTCTCCCCACATCCACTAGACCCTGCCAGAAAGATAAATTAAGAAAGCATTATTATGGGATAAATTGCAAATAATTAACACATACATAAATTTATGTACGAATCTCTATATATTGCATAATAAAACGAGTATAATAAGAGAATTGTTATTAATACTTTGAAAAAGTCATCATGCACTGCTTCATACTTCTTTTCACCTTGAAGAAGTGCACAATGACATTTTCATTAAAAATGCCTTACCGCTTTATGAATACAGGATAATGTTTTAGAGTGATAGTAACAACGCTCTAAAATAATTGTCATTGGTACAATATTTCACTACTTTAAGGAAAGAACAAGAAGAAAACAATGAATGAGAAGGCGAAAGAGATAGAGAGCTGAACCAGAGATTCTTGGACCGACAAGTCTTTCTCCTCTGACCTGAGGCTCCCTACAAAACAGGCATAATAACGAACTATTAATCCACTTCTTTTATATAAGAAAAAATAATGAAATAAACCACTATTTTTTGCACAAATAAACTTTTGTATACAGATAGACTGCATATATGTATATCATGTTGCATCAGCTTTAGACCCTTCTACTGAATCCAAATGACCTAAGAAAATATTTAAAAAGTGAAAGGAAAGAAAAAGAGAGATTCTTGAGCCTTACTGGTTGCAGGAACTGCAGATGAAGATAGATCATACGAGAAAACCAATGAGAGTACCAGAAGTAGTCTAAGAGATGGATTTTGAAGCATTTTGATCAAATAGGAGGAGGAAGAAGAGGAAGAGGCTAAGAGTTGGTGAATAGCAAGAAAAATCATGTAGTATGATTGCCTATATAGGAAGAGCTATCACAAGAATATTTTTATCACAGAAGTCAGCTCAAATTATTTCTCCTCATCCAATTTAATTTGATATAATAATAATAATAAGGATTTTTATCACAGACCCATGCTATCAAGATGATCCTTGAAATTGAAAATCAATCAATGTAGTCATTGAAATTGGGTGTTGCAAATCAATATGATCCTTCCGTTACAATTCCGTAAAAAATTATGTGGCTCATAATTGAATCCACAAGTCTAATTAAATATAGTTATGTGGATTAAAAATAATAATATTTTTATTTTTATATAATTAAAAACTTTTTAAAAAAATGAACATTTCACCGTCTTCTCTCTGCACTTCCGCACCAACAGACCCTCTCCCCATTCCCGGTGGCTCACGTCTTTCGCCACCTCCACCGTGTTCCAGACTTCAGAAGATCCTTCAGGATCTTGTTCGACAACACTCCCATTCGTTCTCTCTCGATCGAAACTGTAAAGTTGTGGAATTAGAAATGGAATGGAAAAAACTCAAATCATCCCCAAATCAGAAAAGAAGAAAACTGAAATGGGGGAGTACCAAACCCAGTAAAAAGAAAACTCAATTCAAGACCAAATCGCAGCAATTCAAACCCAGTGTGGTTGAAAGGCTGGTTGGGGTTATGAAAGTACGGCAACGCTGAGAAGAGCTCAGGGATGTCGCTGGGCTTGTAGTTCACCTTCTTTTTCTTTTCTTTTTCTTTTTAAAGTTTTTTAATTATATAAAAATAAAAATATTATTATTTTTAATCCACATAACTATATTTAATTAGATTTGTGGGATCCAATTATAAGAGACATCATCACATAACAGAATTTTTTACGGAATTGTAACGGAAGTACCACATTGATTTCGAACACCCAATTTCAGGGACTGTTTTTGATAAAAACCCTAATAATAATAATAATAAGGGTTAGTTACATTTTACACCTTTGAACTTAAGAAGATTATCATGAAGTACTTATAATTTTCTCACATTACGTCTTAAAGTTTTAAAATTGTATCATTTTATATCTTTTTGTCTTTTTAAACAACTAATCCTCCATTGAATTGCTGAGTTTTTTTCTTCAATGTTGTGATGCAAAGGTGGCTTACACGATAGCCCATACAAGGATCCCATTCCCATGCTCATCATGTCGTCAATTTAATGAATGTTAAAACAAGTAATCATTTGACTTGAAGCACCATGGTCTTATGGAAAAGCCATTGGCTAATTGATGATGCAACATGACCATGCCCCAATTTGGATGTGTTTGACATATTCATAGAGGCATATGAGTGTAACAAGGAATTTATAACCTTCAATAAGAGAAGGAGAATACTATACGATCTAATTTGCGAATTTGTGGTCAAAGTATCTAGCGTGATTAAAGAAGGCATTCTTTATACGTTTCAATTGAATAATATATATTTGGGGAAATCACATTAGGGGTTTGACATAAACATTCATACTCTAATAATTTGATTATAAGTATTGAGTTAAAGAATGATTGAATTGCATTGTAATTGCAACCAAGTAGGCTCTCTAAACTATTCTATATTTGCTTGGGTAGTGGCTAGAAGTCATTCATGACTTGTGAGTCTTCTCGAGGAATAACCACATACTCTTCGATGATTGGGAGAATTAAAAGAATGTTTTAATTTGCTAAGTGATTGTAGTATTACTAATCACCTCACTGCCTATTGAAACCTAAAGGATCATACATTGATACGCTAGTGTATTGAGATAAGTACGAGGTGATGGAAACAATTAATTACAGTAAATAAATAGAGGTGAAATTAATTAGGGAATCTTAATTTATCATATTAACGATTAGACGTTAATTTTAGGCCTTAAAATAGTTTGGGGTTTTTGGGGCCCACTGGGCCCAAACACATTAAGCTTCATTTAAGGACATGAAATGACGAAAATGACATAAGATCCAAAAGAGCCATCCTTCTATGTATGGCCAAGGAGAGGGTCAGTTCACTTGACTTACCTCCCTAAATTAGCTAACACTTGGCTTATTTCTCTTTATGATTTTTGGTGGTTCATTTCTAGAACAAGAGAGGAGAACGTTTCTCCCTGTCTAACATCAAAGGCCAGCCCCTAGAGGACAGATTACTAGTCTTTATTTACTAGAGGTGTGGGGCATTTAGGTTGTCTCATGTGTCAATTTTTGGAGAAATCAACGGAGAGGACCAATGGAGAAAGCCAAGAGAAGTTCCATGGAGATTCAAAAAGGAGAAGACAAGGTTCTAAGGAGCATAGGAGCTTTCTTGGGGAAGCCAATCTTGGCTCCAAATGGTATATAATCCTCTCTCCCTTCCTCTCTAGTTAAATGTTTTCCAAAATTTGATACCTCAATCATTAGGCCCATAAATCTTGAAGGGTATTTAGTTTTGATTCACTTTTGTTTATTGATTCTATTGCCACGCATTATTTTAAAGTATATGCACGCTAATCTAGTGAAATCTCACAACGACAAAAAAAAAAAAAACTAATAAAAAGAGTTTGAAAACTTTGAGTTTTAACGATAAGGACAAAATAAAAGGTAAAGTGAATAGTACCATAATTGACTTTTTAGTGTAAAAATGTGGTTTTTTTATTAAAGTGAACAGTATCAGAAGCTTTTCATTAAAGTTCCCTAAATCTAGTGAAATCTCAACACAAATCTCTAATTTTTCCTTCAAGTTTGTCATAAAAAAAAAGTAATTAATGCTTTATGTTAGTTTCTCATGAGTGAAGAAAATTCCCAACGATAAAAATGATTAAAAAAATTTGTTGGAATAAAAGAAATTAATAAAAAAAAGCTCCTCGATGGTCATACAAATTAATCAACAATTTTGAACAACATAAAGGGGAAACCGAAGTAAAAATGATTTCCTAAGTGGGTGGAGGGCATCATTTTCCCCTCTATTTTCCCATGGTCAAGGAAATTCGTTTCCCAAGCATACCCTTACCAAACATGAAAAATGCAACAATTTCCCATTCCCAAGTCTAGTTTCCCATAAATCAAACGCACCCTAAAAATAATTGTGTATTTAGTTTTAAAATCAAAATTGAAGGGTTGAAAAGTCGAGCTAGAAGTTAAACTAGAGAGTAATGCTATAAAAGTCATTTTATTTGAATCGTATTCTTATATCATATGATGTATTGTTGACATATATTTGTCACATTATTAAAGTTAATAATTGTATATATCGTTTAGCCACTTAGTATTACAGAGTAATATTTTTCTTCACTCGTTAGATAGCGAGTTTGATATATACCCCACCCCTTACCCACGCCCTCACCACTAGGCTATTCCTAGTGGCTTGAATGATATGTTTGACACTTCAAATTTTTTATAAATGAATAGACCTTTGGTTTGAAAAAAAAAAGAAGAATTTTTGACCTAAAATTCAGGTACCATGTATATTATAATTTGATGGATGAGGATTTTCTCCGGATCCTCTTTGTGAGGATTTTAGGAATCCTCACATCCTAACTGTTTATCGTATATCATGCAGTTAGTTTTCGTCAGGTACTATTTGTGTTTAATTTTAAATGAAAAAATCAAATGATTTCTGACCGAACGATGTACGATGAAAAATTAAGATGTGATAATCCATAAGATCTCTACCATTTAGATACGGATGGATCCAAATCTTAATTTGATGACCTAAATTAAATTTTCTATATTAATTTCTTGTAATATGTCCACCACTCGTAAAAGAAAATTTAAGGGAAAACTAATGAAAATGACTTGAAAACTTTGAGTTTTAATCAAAATGACAAAAATGTGTTGTAAGTGAATAGTACCAGAAATGACTTTTTAGAATAAAATTGTTATTTTAGTTAAAAGTGAAAAGGGCAAAGAATGTTTCGTTAAAATTTCTAAAATTTAACAATTTGGTGTTATGTCATTAATGGACATGACATAAATTAAAGAAAAAGTGTATTATATTGTTCTAACAAAAGTTCATTTGTGAATTATTTGAGAAAGTTTGTTTTTTTCTTCTTGTTTTAAATACTATTATTGGTACAGCACAGAATAACGTAAGGAACCCCCGTGACTGCAATTGATGGACATCTTGGGAAGTTTGGAGAGCTTGGACGGTGGAAAGACGTCTGACTCGTGACTTTGTTCAATTGTCGCATATGGCAACGTCGGCAAGTTCGATTGTCATTAGGGTTAAGATCCCACTCACTCGCTGACTTAGGGTTTGTGGTAGTTGTCCCCAGTGATGGAGATCGACTGATCATACATTCATGCATGGTCACAATTATAGATAATTACAGACATCCCCTACCACTTCTAGGGAGAGCCACCTAAACCTTATCAGCTTCTTTTTCTTTTTCTCTGTCTTCCTAATGAGATCAAATGAAATCTTACCCAAAAATCAAAAGAGATCGAAGGAGATTTGAACCTCTGGCATGCACTTATATAAAAAGCTAAAACACATTCCATCGTTTATAGCTTTTTATAAAAATGTTATTCTCACTACATTTTTAAATTATATTTGTGTTATTTCTATAATAGATTAGACTCATATGTATTAGTAACTTATATTTCTAATGTGGTATGAAAAAATGTGATAAGTGTAGCATCACTCAACATTTTAAGTTTTGAAGAAGTTTAAGATAATTTGTTAATTGTTTAATTCTAACCCTATTTTGAGGACATATAAGAAGTTTATGGCATTATGCATGTTTGTGATGTTATCAGTTATTATTCAAAATATTGAGATTTTCTATGGTTGATTCCAGACTTCTTGTTCTTTGAACATTCACATTGATTAATCTTCTCTTTGTCACGCTGCGCCAATTTTACATTCTGATTTAGGAGATTTTTCAATCTAGAACATTATCACATGTGATACTACTCTACTCAAATTGTAACACGTGTACTTGTTTTTTAATTATTAAAATACCTTAAAAGTGGACCGTGTGAACCTTATCGTTTGCTCATATTAACATGTGGAATAACACATCAACTCCTAAGTATATATTCCATAAACGCATAAAATGTAAATTATATGTAAATTTAAATAATTCTGCATCTATTATGTTCTATCAAAAAGAATATGCTGAAGATTAGCACAAGTGAAATATATAAGGGATGATATATATGGAAGTGGAACTAACCCACACAGAAATACAATAAATAATTACCCAAGTTGACTTTAGGAGAAATATTCTTATCAGTTACGTTTTGGCTTTTGCATATTCAACTTGTCCTTCTTATCTTAATTAATATAAAACGCCAGCCATTCCCACATGTTTCCTCATGCCAATAGCCATCATCGCCCACCCTCTCTCCCCTCCTTTTATTTTTCTCCAGTCTGCAGTGCTGTGTAGATCCATTGAGTGCTTCATAAGAAGCAAAGGCATGGCGCACAAGTGTAATTTTATGACACAACTAGTTATCTTTCTATGTTTTACATATGTCCTATCATCAATAGCTGCAGCTCTACGACAAGTAAGCCTTCTATTTATTTATTTATTTTAATTTTGAAGTAACTGAAAAAATTACAAGATCCTCGACGAATGATATTTATGTTTCTTTTCCTTGGCTCTGGATAATATAGGAAGTCGGAAGATAAGTAAGGAAGGCCTACCGAGTCAGAATTTGTTGGATGAAGGTGTCCTTGATTTGGGAGAAGGATTTGTGGAGGGGCGGATGGATCTGGAAACCAATGATTATTCAGGGGTTGGAGCAAATCCGGTGCATGATCCAAAACCCCCAGGAAGAATTTGAGCCTTATGGTGGGTTTTGTTTTTGAACTTTTGATCTGGTTGGGGTTTTCTTCAGTTGTATGTCCTCCATGTCCATACACGTAATAATTTAATATACAAGAATTATTTTTTGGGTGATAAGAACAACGTGCTTGTTGAATACAATCTTTCTGGTTTTTGGTTGTTGTAATCTTCTTCTAATTATTTTATTAATTCTCCTTTATTATTTGTTGCTACTCCCACCTTCATATCATGTTTTCTCACTCTTTTGTTTTTGTTAGATGTTACAACTCCCCTAGTAATAATACATGTAACAAAATAAACCAAGGTGGATTGGATTCATTGCTCCTAACATCTAACAAAATTTATTGTTAGAATCTTGTCTATGTTAATCAACATCTAATCTAACACAATATATCGTTTGGCAAAAAAACTAAATAAATAAACCAAGGTGGATTGGATTCATTGCTCCTAAACCTAAGGCCATCTCCAATTGACTCGACCAAAGGGCCAGAGGGCTAAAAAATACCCCTTTTGACATGAAAACTGTCTTCAACCGAGGGGTAGGCTAAAGAGCTCGTGGGCCCCACCTGGCCAAAAATGGGAGAACCAGCCAAAGGGCTGGCCAAGAGTAGCCAGCTTGCCAGCCTTATGGCCCAGCCCAAGCACATGTTACCTTACGTCCCACTTGACGTCATGTTGATGTCAGCCACATGACGTCATGTTACTGTTTGACTATTTTTTTGACGAAATTTATAAAAAAATTCTATTTTTTATTTTTTATAAATACCTAAGCCATTTCTACTAGGGGTGGGCACATGCCAGGTTAGGCCCAAAATTGAAGGAACTGGACCGAACCAGTTTGTAAATAACACGCGATGGGGCGGGTTTTGGATTTTTCAAAATGAGATCTAGACCTAGCCTGGCCTTTTTGAAATGGGTCGGTTCATATGAGTACCCATGGGTCCTACAGTAGTGAGGGTAACCAGAGAAGAACAAAAAGATTGCTCATGGAGACCAACTGACCCCCGATGACTCGACGACACTGCTGGTTGATAATAAGTAGCTCGACTGCTACAACCACTACAACACCATCGACGGCTACGTCTGTAACCTCATCAGATTCCTGGCCTTGTCCTTGGCTCCTGGTCCCATAGCAACCACTTTCCCTGAGTTTAGCTACATCAATTGGACCAATCGCAACCATTAAAATTCAAGTCAAGATAAAACCATAAACCCTAAATACATTTATGCGAAGAAGAAGATGATGTCATAGAATTTACCTTGGTGGAGGACTCGGGGAGAAGAATGCTGGCAGTGGTTTTGGAGGGCGGGATGATTTTCTCGATCAGGACGCAGTTGAGAGTTGGCCATTTAGGTCTCTGAGAACACTGGAGCTACTAGGTTTAAGGTTTGGGGGAAGATGACGACTGCTGATGGTTTAGAATGTGAGGGTTTGGGGAGGAGGAGGACTGCTTGTTGATCAAGTTCTAAAAGATGATGGAAGGTTCTAGGTCTTTGGGTTTTTGAGGTATTAGGTTTTGAGAGGTGTGTGCTATGGGCGTGGGTCTGATAGTGGAGTTTGGACCTTTGTTTATTGATGTAAATAGTCCAATGCTTAGGCCTTGTTTGTGTCACGCCCCGACCCACGAATAAAGACTATTCCTGAGCTAAGGTGTGAGTCATACCTTAGCTATAGAAATAAATTCTACAACCAAGATATGGTGGAAAAATTAAAATAAAATTATTTGGAGTTGATTACACAATACATCTTATAACACTAGTTAACAACTTTTACATACTAAATGCTTTAGTTTACCACATAAAATTTATTGAATATGCAATGGAAATAAAATATTAGTACTCAAATTAAATTGTAACAATTCTTTCGAATGCATGAAATATATGCAAATGAGATGGATGAATGTACTCACTCCCTTCCAATCCTGCTAACACATACCTAAGGCACTTAAGCCTACACGTCCCATACCATGCTTATACCACTTGGCTCTGAATACCTTAGAATATGAGTTAACTCTCGTTCATCCCTTAAACCCAATTTTTGTAATTAAATTCTCAATTTCCACTTTATTATACAGGCACTTCCTGTGATGCCTAATTGTATATTCAAGCCGTTCCCCCAACGCCTGACATATGCAAGATTTCATTATTTTATAATCAACCGGTTGCATACTCAAGCCTTTCTCCCGACGCCTGATGTATACAAGGTTCATTATTTTATATTCAAGGCAAACTTCAACCCTTGAATATTCTTACAACTCAAACACAACTTAACTCTTTTTCTTACTTTACAAGCATGTTTATGTATATGCCATGTTCATATAGATATCAATACTCACATTTTATCTAACAAGCCTAGAATCTTCAACATAATTCAATTTGATTAGTAACAAGAGTAATATAATCATAATATTAACAACAAAGTAATAATCTTTAATGTAAATGATAAGCAATATGTTACCAATTCCTCCTTGAGTCGATCCTCCTTTTCCATCAAGTTTCTATTAAAAACTCAGTGTTTTATTAATAAATGGTTTGCTCAACTCAAATTTATTGCAATTAGACAAAGGAACACGGAGATTTAAGTGGTTCACCAATTTGGCTACGTCACTAGGGTTGTGTTTTTATTTGTATTTCACTAGGTAATGAGGATTTACAAATGCATAACAATGACTTAAAAGCCTTGACAAAAATATGTAAGAAAAGTGATATGAGAATGACGGTTTTTCTCTCTTTTCTTCCCCCCTCCCTTTTGCTCTCTCCTCCTCCTTCCTTTATATAGTGAGTGATTGTGTTTCTTCCCTTGAATTCCTTCCCCTTGAAGCTCTATACGTATAGATTAACCTTGTTTGCTTCTTTTCCTCATGATTCATGGCATATGTGTTCCAATAGCAAGACACCAAGTGTTGTTCTCATCATTAGCCATGATATGTGGTCCAATAGAAAAACAACAAATGTTAAGTTAATCAAGCCCTAATATGTGTTCCAATAGAAACACACCAAATGTGAAGTTAATCATTGACAATAGGATGTGTTTATATGACAAAGCAACATGTGTTAAGTTAGTCATAAACAAAAATTATCATGCAAAGTGGACAAATACCCAAAGGCCACATCCATACTCTATAAGATATAGAATCCCACCTCAACCTATCTAGAGTAGTGACTAACCCCTCCTCTTTATTCTCTAATGGTTGGCAAAACGCTACTTAGCCTTTGTGAGAAAAATAAAGCCAAACTCATCATAATCCCCTTCTTCAATTCAAACTAAAAATACGGGAACTTTAACGAAAAGCACCCGGTACTGTTCACTTTAACGAAAAACCACATTTTTACACTAAAAAGTCAAACCTGGTACTATTCACTTTACCCTTTATTTTGTCCTTATCATTAAAACTCAAAGTTTTCAAGCCCTTTTCATTAGTTTTCCTTAAAAATATCTCTAATTACATATGAACATGAAATAATACTAGTTAGTTTTTGAAATAATCTTGTAGCAAAAATGAACTTACGTTGACACTAGTATACATATGAAAAGTATAGCGTATAAAAAGAAACCCAATAAAATTATTACATAAAAACAACTTCGCACATACAAACATACATATATAATCATTTTTTAAATATGGGGTATTACAGTTTGCTAATAAAATAACCCAATACATAGGCCTTGTTTTGTTACAAACAGGACGGTCCGGGTATCCGTTTTTCTATACTTCTGGAACCGGCCCACCCCGTTTCTCTTATTAAAAATTTGGAACCGGCCCGTACCCACCCTAACCCACGGTTCCTATACCCGTTTGCCCATTCCTAATTTCTACCCCATTTCTCACGTCCTTTTCACCATCTCATACTATCTTACCTCATTTTATTTTAATTCTTCACCAATTTTTCACATCATTTTCATTCTATAACGATAAGAAATCCGAAGACTTATTAATTTAGCGACAAGTGGCACTCAAAATATGTCCGAAAATCTTATTTTAATATGGTAATCCAATTCAATTAACCATATTAATTTAATTAAAATAATAAATTATGTTTGGCCTATAGCCTTTTGACCACCTCGGGTGGAGATGGTGTTTTGTCAAAGGCTATGTTTGGCCTATGACCCTTTGGCCCCCTCGGTTGAAGATGATATAAAATAGGGAGTTTTAACAAAACACTCCCAGTACTGTTCACTTTTAATGAAAAACCATATTTATACATTTCCCTGGTACTATTCATTAAACCTTTAAAAATGACTTTTCATTAAAAGGGAAGTTTTTTGGACTTTTCGTTAATTTTCCTTATAAAATATGGTCTGACATTGTTTATTAAAATATAATTTATTGCAGAGTTATAGGGCTAAACATGGCCCTTTGACCCTCTTTCGGTTGGAGATGACATAAAGACCTTCTCGAGGCTAAAGGCCCAAAGAGCAGAGTAACTAACTCGACCATATTGATTAACAAAGTGACTAACTCTGAACAAGCAACATTACAAAGCACGTACTCGGTCATTTCTAGTAAGCCGAGTGAGATGCCTTCTTCCAGTCAACATATATGGGCAAAGTAATAAGGTGATAATCTGCGTTCAATGCAGATGTCCGGATTAAAAATCCCTATCGGATAGTTCTTCAAACTGAGCTCCATTAAGAAGTTGCATGAAAGAACGCTGGAAACGAGTGGAAACAGCAACTCTACAACGCAAGAAAAGATTGCATAGGATGGCAAAGGCTTCCCATACCATGATTCTGAACAACAAATAAAAGTAAATACAAAACATAAACATAAAACGTGCCTACTTCTTAATGAGTATAGCACCAATCTTTCAATCTTGTCAAAATTTTGCCCCAAAATTTTGCTGACCTTGTAAGGCAAAATGGACAACGAAAAACTACCATATTTGTCCTATTTCCCTAATAACAGTTGATTTTATACCATGAAATGAGATAATTAAAGGGTTCAATTGAAATTGACTGCAATACTTTTTATGTAAAAAATTACAAGCATATGCATTATATATACCCACATATACTTCTTCAACCCGATGTTAGAGCAAGTATATCAGATTATAAACCGGAAGCACTAACGATTATCCCTCTAACACTGAAGGTTTTCTAAGCTTCTAACTTCTTCTTTATAAGTTTCTAAATGGCAAATTAGTTTATAAAATCATAAAACCTTAGTCACTCAGGTTAAAGGGCGAGTTTAAATCCAAGGAAGCAAATA